GTACCCATATCAGTATTAATGTCAACGTTGACTAAAATTTTCCTTTAGATGACACGACGTTTAATCACGATCAGGAAAGAATTTTGAATTAGTTCGGCAGATAATTCTTTAATTCGATTTTTTAAAATGATTTAAAGAAACACATTTTATTAATATTTTTTTGAGTTAAAAATAGTAATTTTTTTACCATGCTAAAATATTTACATATAATTTTACGAACAGTAAATTAAACAATTTATCAAATTTATTTACAAGGGTATTTTATTAACAAGCCATTTTATACACATGTAAAAGCAATGCAGTCTTTTAAAGTTACACGTCAACATATTAGTTTATTAAACAGAACTAAGAAATCTCAAATAAGTGCTTCGTGAAAATTAACCAATACCATAATCGCTTAAAACTGCACCTACCGGTCATATTGGTCTTTTAAATTAAGAAAAAATCAAGTACATTTTCAAACATTTTATTTCAATCTAAAATTTTAATTTATTTTTCATTTTGACTCTAATTCAGAGACTTAGGTAGTAATAATAATATACGTTTACGCGTAAAGTGGAAAAAATTAACTTAAGGATTTAAAAAAAATACAGCTTAGTTGAATTTTTCCTAACTTGAATTATTAATATAATAATAAAATACGATTTCGAGCAATATAATTTTGTTTTGTAAATCATATTTTTTTCCAAAAGAGTGACAAAAATTCGAAAAAAAATTAAAAATTATAAGAAATAGGAGAAGAATAAATCTTAGTTCCGCGATAGTGACAACGACAAAGCGCACCGCGTAGCGGAAGTCATAAGAAAAAGAGACATTAATTTCAGAGCTCGCAACCAAACACAGCGCAACCTCGTTTGTTCCGAAGCTTGAAACAGAACCATGTCCACTAGATTTCGGTAACCCTCTTTGTTTTCAGATATGATTCCTTTCTTTTTATCGTTTTCTTTTAACTGATTCGTCATTCATGTCATGTTTTAAGCTTAAAGGTTCGTTTACGTGCAGGGGATCACAAGAACTCAAACATGGTTCTTCTTCCACCACCCAAGCTGCTGGACTTGTTGCTACTTTCAAGGATAAAAGGTCTTCAACAAACATCATATCATTTCTTCTGTTTTTCAAATTTTAGTTTTGGTTATGTAACAGTGCATTTGACCTTATGTTGCAGTCTGATGTTATGAATAATTGATCTTGTTAAATGAGAGTTTAATGAGTATTTATTGTAAACATCAACGAATCATTACATAAACCAGTTTATGGTTAGAATACGATGTTACAGTTCGGTGTCTTTTACATATTAGCAATATTAATGATTCCTTGTTCTCTTTTATGAACTTGGCAGTGTTGATGAGCTGCGGAAGCTTTTATCTAACAAAGACGCATATCAGCAGTTCTTAAATTCACTGGAGGAGGTCAAGATTCAAAATCATGTAAGATATGCAGTTATCATGATGGTGATGATGATAATGATTCTGAGAATTTCTGGTGGTGTGCTCCATTCTAAAGTTCCCTTTTTGGCCACTTTTTTCATATTAATTTCATTGTGTTGCTTGTAATATTCTGCCATGTTCTTTGAAGTAATAGAGTAAGCAATTTTTTTCTGGTATCGAGTTGGATACAATGGAAGAATTGGGGATATGCATATGAACTTATCCGTCAGAATTTACCCTAGTCGAACATATTTCTTGATCTGTCATGCTTTATAGATGAAATTGTTGTTTTTTCTGATTTAAGAAAAATAGAAGAAATTGTTGAGGCATGTCAGTGCTATGGGAAATTATGTTTTAATCTAAATGTGTGTTTATTTCATGATAGTAATCTTTGTGGAGTTCAAAAAAATGTTTTTGTTAAATTTTCGTTTTCCCTTTGCAATGAATGAGGCATATCAAGGTCATGTGTTGGACACATTTCTCTATAAACTCCTTTTAAAAAGAAAAAAAAGAGAAAAATATTGAATTAATTTCTCCTTAAACTAAAATTAGTTTATACAGAAGTTGACTTGTAAAATGCTCTTAGATAGCATTTCTAAATTTTGTGTTTTTAATTAGTTCATAAGCTAGTTTTGTCTTGTGGATAGAAATGTCACTGCTAGGATAAGCTATTTTTGGTAGTGGCAGGTGGTTGATCCTACAGGCTGAGTTTAAACCCCTCTTGTTACAGTAGGGGAGATTGTTAGCCTAATTATGCTAATCTCAATTATTGTTGAGTTTGATGTCCGAAGTCCCAATCCGTAGTGCTTATATTGGGTGCAACACCTCGTTGTTCGATCCATTTTTTCGAATCAAAATGAGGAAATGAAAGTTCCATCCTCAATAGCCTACTTAAGCTTTCATAGAAAGGTTTGTGCTAGCTGTCATTTACTAGTTTTTCAATTTGCATAGTTGCAAAATCGAAGTGTCAGTGTCAGAATTCTGCATTTGTACTACAAGATCCAAACAATTGGCATGCTTTTTAGTTGCACATTTCATAAACTCACTGGGGGCTCCTATCAGGTTTTTGGTAAGACCCAAAATTCAGAGCACTTCTGCAGAAGTTTTTAAATGCTGTGGTTAACTGATGTTTTTAGATGGACATTACTCGATGTTAATGTCCCACCCTCACACCACCACCACCAATGTAAATGCCGAAAACTCTATTGTTGTATTGCTTGTATTTTAACACATTTTTACCCCCAATGACTTGATCAGGTGACAGATGAACTTTGCAAGGAGAATCTGCAGCTTGCTGGTGAGTTATTGAATTCATTTCCTTTTGACGATGCAATCAGATGGCTAGCTGCCAGCTTGATATTTTAGATCATCTCAAACAATTTATTTTAAATTCAGACGAAAATCTACGAAAAGAACCTCGCATTGTGGAACTCAGTAACCAGGTACGATCATAATCCTATGATTTGTTTGATTTTCTACATTCTGAAGTGAGTATGAATTTGACCCCTTCTCATATGGAAACAGTATAGAATAATTTGTACGACTGAGTTAGCTGCTGCTCAAGAGAAACTAAATGAGCTTTACAGGCAGAAAGAGGAAATAACGAAGTTGAATTCCCCACTGTACCTTCTCCAAAGGATTCAAGGTATGAATTGACATGGTGTTTTCTCTCATATAAACCTAATTGCTGTAATCACGAAAATTTATCTTTATTACCTGCTTGGTTTCGTAATATCTTCTAATGATTTTACAGAGGCTATGAATAAGACAGATGAGGAATCCGAAAATCTGCACCGTCAATTCCTTGACAGAGAAATTGACCTTGGAGCCTTTTTTCAGAAATACAAAAAGCTACGCACCGCTTACCACAGGAAAAGTCTAATAAATCTTGCAGATAAAACATCAAATATATGAGCATCGCATAAGAATATCCAGAATTAGGAATGTAACTTGTTTGTAGAGCCTGTAATTGATTTTCAGTTCATTCTTGCCAATATAGTAGTCCTCTGTCAATATTTAAGTAGTTTCAGACCATCTTAAAAATAGTACACAATATCCTCTTATTTGGCTCCCGCGTTATTTTCATCAATAAGATTTTCCAGAGGCTGTGATGTGATGTAATTATCATCGTTATTATAGGATCCAACTTGTGTTTTAAGTGTTTGGACATGTGAAAATAATGCGTTGTGCTTTTTCATAGAGAAAGGTTAAATTTCATCTCACTGAAAAAAAATGATCTAGATAATATCATAAATATTGCATTTTTATTTTGTACTGAAAATTAAAGTCCGCATCATCAGCAGCCATCTGATGAGGGTTCTTATAATGTTAATCTCCCTCTAAAAAACGAACAAGGATTTGGGTAAGTGAATCTTTATGATCATGGCCGAGAGATAAAAGGCAAAAGCACAGTATTGCACTGCCATTGGAAAAGCTTTATTCCAGTAATCAAGAAGGTACAACTATGGTTATCAAACTCTCGAGTTAACTCGTAAACTCAGTTTACATTCCTAGACATGACTTCCGAGTTAACTCGGAAGTAAACTCGTTTTCTGCGTAAACTAGATAGAATCGACTGTAAGATCGGTAAGATCGTGTAAAATCGCGAGTTTGAAACGATTCTGCGAGCTTGAAAGTTATATATTTAATGAAATGCATCAAAATTAATGACAATAATTCATGTATTTATGTTTTACAATATTTATTTTTATGAACAATATAACTATAAATTTTATTTATTTAAAGTTATATAATTTTGTAGACTTATTTGAATTAAGATATTATTTATATAATTTTTTTTCATCTGAAGTANCTTGTGTTTTAAGTGTTTGGACATGTGAAAATAATGCGTTGTGCTTTTTCATAGAGAAAGGTTAAATTTCATCTCACTGAAAAAAAATGATCTAGATAATATCATAAATATTGCATTTTTATTTTGTACTGAAAATTAAAGTCCGCATCATCAGCAGCCATCTGATGAGGGTTCTTATAATGTTAATCTCCCTCTAAAAAACGAACAAGGATTTGGGTAAGTGAATCTTTATGATCATGGCCGAGAGATAAAAGGCAAAAGCACAGTATTGCACTGCCATTGGAAAAGCTTTATTCCAGTAATCAAGAAGGTACAACTATGGTTATCAAACTCTCGAGTTAACTCGTAAACTCAGTTTACATTCCTAGACATGACTTCCGAGTTAACTCGGAAGTAAACTCGTTTTCTGCGTAAACTAGATAGAATCGACTGTAAGATCGGTAAGATCGTGTAAAATCGCGAGTTTGAAACGATTCTGCGAGCTTGAAAGTTATATATTTAATGAAATGCATCAAAATTAATGACAATAATTCATGTATTTATGTTTTACAATATTTATTTTTATGAACAATATAACTATAAATTTTATTTATTTAAAGTTATATAATTTTGTAGACTTATTTGAATTAAGATATTATTTATATAATTTTTTTTCATCTGAAGTAAACTCTCACTCTTACGAGTTTACGAGTCGAGTTTACGAGTTGAGTTTACTCAACTCTCACGAGTTTACGTAAACTCTCGAATTTGATAACCTTAGGTACAACAAATATCCAGTATATTGAAGCGGGAACAACAAGAGTTATTGACTCGTACATTTCACTATTTTTTTTTCTTGTTTCCTTAGGTTGTACATGGAAAGGTACACAGATAGGGGGTTATGAACCGTATAAATATAGCTATAAGCCTGAAAAAGGAATCATAATAACTAGCCTAACAGTATCAAGGGCTGGCCGGACTAAAACCATTGCTACGAAATTGATGTAATCAACAATAGTCGAACAGAATAATATCGACCAGTTGATCATTACCTGGCATGACCGCCCTCAGGAAAATAAATAGGATCTTTATCTTCTACTATGTGAACCAACTGGCTCAAATTTAAGTAACCACACCAAGTCTCATTTTTCTTCCAAGTAACCTAGCTCTTTCTCCCACTTAAGGCCAAACATTTGCCTACCAAAAGGCACAATGAGGTTATACCGGAAAACCTGCCAAGAAAATGTAGAACCATTGCATGAGCATTCAATTATGACTGGAATTAAAAATATAAAAGGACCAAGAATTTAATTCTCCATTCCATTTCCCATGAAACATTATGGCAGATGACCTCACCTTATCATTGATTTCTCGTAACTGCAGTTTCAAATTCTCTGAACTCTCGACCCACTCAGAGTGCTCTCCTCCACATTTAGTAGCCCAAGCTTTCTTCAAGGACAACCTCCATTCAGATATTTTAGATCTTATTTCTTTGTTAAGCTCGACCCACTCTGGTGCACAACCATTTTTTGACAAGATTCGGTACAGGGTGTCTTCAGCTGGATCTGCATGAGGATTTGTGTCAAGCTTAAGGGGCTTGCCTTTGCCTGGCAAGTTCTCAAACTGGCCCTCTTCCATGGAATGCCATATCCTTTGCTCAACAACGTTAATAATATCAGTTTCTGACCTGCCCAACACCCAGTTTGTGTTAAATACCAGATGAGGAGTAAACCAATATAATGTCGCCAAAAGTATTTGACTCAAAATCAATATTGGTAACACTATCAATCGTACCACTAGTGCACCAGGGCACCCTCGTCCTGAGGACAACTTAACTGGCCATTTGGAGATGTTAAAACCAATGACACAAATACTATACAAGGAATGCTGATAACAAACTTAATAACACTTTCTAATACTTTCTCTTTCATTGGCTGAAAATCACAAGTATTCCACTCATTTTGAAAATGAGAATCCCATATTCAGAGAGAATTGTACAAGTTTGACTCATTAGGACAATTAGATATATTATGTTTATTTTATCTTTATATTTTATCTTTAGTTAGTTATTATTTCTTATTTATAATTTAGGCTTAGTCCAAATTTCTTTTATTATAAATAGAAAATTTTATATATATTTAACAGAAATTAATCTTATACATCGTTTCACTATATTCAACAAGACAAAGTAGGCCAAAGATGTTTTTTACAACATCTGCAATACAAATTATTCAGCACTCTTAAACTAAAGAACCAATTCTTATGCAGTTTCCCCATTATAACAATTGAGATGATCGTTTTTATATTAGAACTAAACAACAGTTATTTATATCATCATCGATTCTTAATTGCTCTTAAGAATAGCGAGACAATTGTAGAACCGGTTTCCAGTTCTTAAATGCTGTACCATCAGACAAAAAAACTTGTTGAAATTCTTAAATTTCACAAGGCATAGTAGAGCCTACTGAAAGTGAGTTACGTAACTCCACCATTGTTAGACGATTAAAACTGCTCTTCCAACGTATATTAGTAGCATTTCAAATCTACCAAAGGGCAGAGTTTTACGGTAGAGTTCATCTGCTTGTCATTCCATTTGCTACATCCAAGACAAGAATGAAATTCCACTTCTTTATGTTTTTATTTCAAATGTATAATTTCAGATTAAACTCGTGTATTCACCTCGCAAGAGAAGATTAATGAATTACACTCAAACAGCTAAACAATTTACTGTAGTGCAGAAATTTTATCCTAATTTTAACCATTCAAAGAGCCGAATCTATCAATTTCATATTCACTGACATTTTAAACCTAAGGCAATGAAAGTGCCGAGATAAAGAGATATATCCAATAAAGATCAAGCCAACTTTGTTATCGTGCTTGTGCAACCTAAAAAGATTCAGAACAGAAAATTTTAATCTCACGAATACACGCACGCGAGCGCGCGCAATCGTAAAGAATTTCGAAAAGTATATTGAAATCAAATTACAGGAATAGCGGCCTTTTCAAACATGTGGAAGTGCGTTATTATTACCTGACATTGTTGCGCTGGCCGCGTAGCTCCGGCGGTAGTTTACGATCATGAACGGCGTCGATAACGGCCGTAAGACGATCCATGAACTTCTTCCCCGTTTTAGACTTACCGGAAGACGATGACGACGACGAAGAGGAAGAGGAAGAGGAAGAAGAGGAGGAGGAGAATCCAGTGGTGGAAACGAAGAGAGCGCGCGAATTGATAGTTGTAAATCCCCTGAGGCGAAGACACGTTGCCATGCTTAGTCTCTCAAACACCGCCCTCGATTTCTGCCTCTCACCTTTCTCCTTCTGCAATAACTTCCTGTCACTGCTGTTCACAAATCTAAAATTATAATTTAAATTTTTTTATTTAATTGTAAATAAGTTGTATCACCCATAAATGTTGTGACTGAGTTTCACATTCTTTTAGCATTAATCAGTATTTTGATAGCAATATTCATTGCATTAGTTCAATGTAATTTTTAAAATTTTCAATCTTTAATTTAGTAGCTGTTTTATGTAAAAGATTAAATGTGGTTACTTAAGTTAAATTACTGTTAATATTATTCGAGAGCTGATTACGTGTCATTTTTTTAGTTTATTTTATTTTTCTTTCTTTACCTTTCATTGTTACCTATTTTTTCCTCCGCACATCCCACTCAACATATTAATAAAACCTTTTTTTTTCTTCCATTGCTTCAGACGCAGCAGTCATTGCCGATTTTATTAAGTGTAGTCTTGCCACCCATTTTCTCTTTCAATGGTGCAATTAGTTTCTTTCTTATTACTCTATGGTTCTGATTTTGGTATTTGTGATTCATTTATGTTATAGATGGATAAGAAAAATAAAACGACAAAATCTTCTATTTAATTTTATCTCCTGATTTACTAAAAACTATCAAAATCTTATCTTTAGATTATGCATAAACTAATTATACTCACAACAACATAGGTTATATTAAGTTTAGTGTTTGCTAAGTAAATGAGTTTTCCAACAAGTCTTTAACATTAACTTTTATTTATACTAAAAATATCTTCATCATTCTCAATTATATGAGTTTGTTTTATAAGAACTTTGTTAATTTTTCAATCAATCTTGCATATTTCTTTGAAAAAGTAAAAAAATACAATCTTTGAGAGATAAAAATGTCTATATGTGAGTAAACAACTTCTATCCCAAATAAGTATTTTAATTTTTCTAGATCTTTCATGAATAGAAAGATTTTCTTTCAAGATTTGCTTCTCATGTTTGTTATCTCCTACAACAATCATATGATCAACATAAACTAAGAATAGAGTAAGTTTTCTTTATGGGGAATGTGTTATGAATAGAGTATGATCACCTTGACATTATTGATGTCCAATAGAGATAATAATTTGAGTGAGTCTACCAAAACAAGCATAGGGTGATTGCCTAAGTTCGTACAAGGCTTTCTTCAATCTACATACTTTATTCCCTTCTTCAATATGCTTGAAACCTACAGGAAATTTTATGTAGACTTCTTCCTTTAATTGTCAAAACATTTTTCATGCCAAAACTTTGTAATTCCTAACCAAAATAAGTTGTCAATAAGAGAATGATTCTAACAATATTCATTTTTTCCACTACAACAAATGCATCCTCGTAACCAATACCATAAGTTTGAGTAAATCCTTTAGCAACTAGCATTACTTTATAATGTTTTAATGTACCATCAAATTTATATAAACTTATCTGCATCTTTCTACCTTTTTATCTAGTTACTTGTTAACAATTTTTCATGTTTGGTTTTGTTATAAGACATTGATATCTTCATTCATGACTTGAACCCAATTCTCATCCTTTAATGCTTCTTGAATTGAAGTAGGGACTTTAATTGCATCAATGGTAATAGGAAACTCAAGTAGTACATACAAAGGATTTTAGCACTTACAAAATAAGAAATAGGGTACTTGGTACAAGATCGAGTTCCTTTTCTTAAAGTAATGGGTAAGTCATCAAGGTTAGGTTCACAATTAATATTCTAGGAATTTCTAAAGATTATTCAAGGTTGGGAGAAGAAGGACTACTTAACCTTGAGTAAGATGATTGGTGTTGTTCTTAGATTAGGTTATGTTGCTTTTGTATCCTATGATATTGTATATATATAAGAAATTCTCTAGACGACTAATTTTTAGAGTTTTCCTTAACCAAGAATAAAGATGTCCTTGTTAGGAGAAACTTCATAAACATGACTAATTTATGGAGTTGACCCTAACTCGGAAACATAGATTCCCTATTAGGAGCAGCTTCAAAGATATCCAAACAAGAGGTGTCAAGAGAAGTATTAGGAATACTAAGAGTAGTATTAGGAATACTAAGAGTAGTATGAGACAATTCTTGTATGAAAGGGAGAAAAAATGACTCAAGAGATTCAAAAGACTTAACTTCCAAAAAAATAAAAAATTTGCTTGGACCTAAGGACATTCGTAAAAAAAGATTTAGTTTAAGTGACATTTATGGAGGTAGAAAACTTTCGACTCAGAGGATGGTAACAATGATACCCCTTTAATTAGATGCATAACCAACAAATATGAATTTAACAACTTTAGGATCTAACTTTCTATGAAACCAACTATGGATATGGACAGAAAAGACATATCCGAACACTTGACTATGAAGACAAGAGAGAAAAGGAACAAATTGGAAATAAGGAAAATACAAACTCAATGAGACTTAGACCATTTAGGGCTCAAGAGGGTAATCAATTAATAAGATAGGTAGCAGTGAGGATAACTTCTCCCTAATAAGATTTAGGGACATTCATTTGGAAAAGAAATGTTCGTCTGACTTTAAAAAGATGTCTACATTTTCTTTCACCAATATCATTTTGTTGTGGTGTATCCACACAAAATGGCATTGCTAAAGGGAATTTAGACATGTCATGATTTACATATTTTCTCCCATTATCATAACATAAATGTTTAATTGACTTTTCAAATTGTATTTTTATCACGTTGAAGAATTTGACAAATAAAGTAAAAATTTAGATTTTTCTTTCATAAGAAAAATCCATGTACATGGGTACAATCATTAATAAATGTGACACACATCACATGTAAATGACTAGGAGGATACGTGACACGGTGGTGTTTTGTAAATTAACATACATCACATTTAAATGACTCAACAGACTCTTTGGAAAATAAAGAAGGGAACATGGACTTTAGAACAGAAAAGGAGAAATGTCCTAGAAGGATGTAAACAAGTCAAATTTGAGAGAGTTGAAAAGTAGTGCAAGATTGGACACAAAGGTACCTATTTATGTACTGTCTTTAGTTTTCAAGTTGTTTAAACAACACAACCACCCTATTACTTAACAAATCCAATCATCCTTCCCATGACAAGATCTTGGAAAACACAATGAGTGAAAAAAGATGTTATAAAACACTTTCGGTCCTGGGTAAGTTTCTTTAATGGAAATAATAAGATTATTAGAAAAATTAGGAACATAAAGAACATCTTTAAGATTGAGGGATTACAAAAGAGAAACATTACCACATCTAATTATTAGAATACAAGTCCCATTATCAATTGTAATGTTAGAAAAGAGAAACATATGATGTTAAAAGAGATGAATGAGGGATCATATAGTTTGTCGCACCAAAGCTCAGAATCCAACAGTCCTTACATAAAGTTTTAGAAACATTAAAAGAGGAATTTAAGTTCTTACCACCTAGTGCTAAAGAGTATGTACTAGAAAGTGACTTATTAATAGTCTCTATGAGATATTTCAATTGTTCAAATTTAGCACATAATGTATCTATCTCTAAAGTAAAACTTCAACATTGCTTAATGGAGTTGTCGTGCTTAAATAAATAATAAGGATTCCTTAGTCCCCTCTTAATTAAAACAAAACAATGAGACAAAAATTGACGGTAACAACAATAACAACAATAATTGTAATGGCGGAAACTCCGATAAAAGGTCTGACAACAACCTCAACGAAGATCCGTTGACAGCTCCAATAAGGGTTCCACGACATGTTTGATAAGGGTTCAACGATAGGTCCGATAAGGGTCTAACGACAACTCTAGTAAGGATTTGGTGATAACTCCAACAAAGGTTCGATGACAACTTCAACTAGACTACGACGATAACTTTTTTGAAGGTCTGCAATAAATCCAACAACAACTCTAGTGAAAAATTTAACGAAAGTCTAGTAATGACTCTACGAAGGCTCTAATAGAGGATAAACAAAATAACAATGACAACACAACCACATGTTGAGTGCACTTCAAGCAACCTAAATTGTTTTAAAAAAAATGATGTACTTCGAACAATTGTATAAAAAATCGTAACTAAGACAATGAAAAAGAAAAACAAAAATAAGACTCTTAAAGTCGGAAGTTCTAATTTAAAAGGATTAACATGAAAGAAAAAAAGAGTTTTATTCAAATTGGTTAATTTAAAATAGTAGGTTGACATCAATTAATCTCTAACCCTAAAATAATAATGACATGAAGTATCTCTAAAACATTTTACCAACTTCTAACCACATCTATTAAAACATTTAATATCCTACTATACTAACAACAATTTGACAACCTACAATACTTATTTATGTGATTATGTGATTATGTCACTAGAAATTAAAGCAATCCCATATTGATCTTAAAGGAAATATTAAAATATGACTTTTATTTTCTGTTTAAAAACTGAAATTTTAAATAGATTATTTTTAAAATAAAAGTTAAAACATAAAAGCAAAATGTCCGCAGTTCATTCAAGACATTAGAAGAAAAAAAGTTGTCTAATAAATTAGCACTCATTCCTTAAAAAGGACACCATGACTTTCATGAAAAGGAAAAATCATGTTATTAAACATGAATTCAAAATAATAAGATCAAATTGAAACATAATAATTGATGAAATTTCTTTTTATAATTTTAAGAAATTAAAATATATAATATTTGAATTGCTTGCAAATGATTTTGTTAAATATTTTATCTTAATAGAGTATTTAAAATACTTTATATTTTAATTTTTTACTAAGTAATTTAATTTTTCTTTTAAGATAAAACTTTATCTTAAATATATTTATTTTTAAACATAAAATTTTAAAATTAAAGTTTAAAAGTATATTAATTAAATTTAAATAATATTTAATGTAACATCCCAAATTTAGTAATATAAAATTTACTAAAATGAAACATTACATGCATAATGATAAAACAGAACAACAGATTTTGTGAATAAAAATTTCACCTGAAGAACAAGATAACTACCTATACTATCAGCTTCACTTCCCCCCTTCAGCTGCTCCAACTGAAAAGAATGTATGCCCAAGCTCACACCAATCAGGTGATCAT